AAGGCTTTTTCGGGTTTCGAAGGTTGTTGGTTGCCTGGAAAACCAATAAAGGCTTAATTGAAAAATCGGCGCCGGTCAGTCGATGTAGTTAGGTGTCTAGTTTGAAATAAAACAAACCCGAACTCGCCAGCTTGAAGTATATTAAAAAACCTTAGGACGCCGTTCAGGGTCCTTTTTGGACCTTGATCTCTGGAAAACTCCTAAACCGTAAGACTTGGAGACAAAAAAATTTTTTCATTCCAGTAACTCATTGTGCCGAACATTTATCGAAAGTTTCGTCAAGATCGGATGCACGGTGTAGGAGATAATTTCTGAGGGGGGGGCCCTTAAGGCATTTAGAATGCATCAAATACGGCCGAATGCCTCATTTAAGCGGGACACTGTAAAGTTTTCTTTCTAATATCACACGATTTCTTTCATTCAACTATCAGCTTCAGAAAATAAATTGAAAGGGGCCATCTTTATTAAAATCTATAATAATTAGTACTAATTAGAGAGGGATTGAACAGGTATGAAATAACAGAAGCATACCGAACTGGGCGTTATGGGTGTGGTCACATGTTCATAACGTCAATATCGCATGCAGAGAAAATGCTAGAAATGCCATGAGAAACGCGTTTGATTAGAATTTAGAAGATCTGAATATTATCTTGTGTATTTATAACTAATAAGCTTAGCACCATGACAACAAAGACAAATAATGAAAAAATTTTAACTATGTACATAGAATGCTACACAATAACTAATGCGTTATTAAGTCAACAAGAAAGTTAATAACTTCAAAAACTTTATGTCTGCCTCAGAATTAAATTATTTTTAAATTGTAAACAATAAAACAACATAAATATAGCTCACTACGGGAGGAAAAAAAAGACAAATTGGCCGGTTATCAGACAACGAACAAAATAATAACTGTTTCATAATATATGAATCTAGAGAAAAATCAGTCTTGTGAAACTTTCCATAACTTAAAAAAGCCAATACGAATCCAAACATTCTATACAGCGCACACTTCAGCTATATAGTACTATATCAAACTACTTGATCTTAATGTACTAATCTGAACGAAACGTAGAAAAAAATGTTCGAGAAAAAGGCACATGGTATAAATAATAAACCGACGTCTTTAACTTTCCATACTTAAATTATCAACATCGAATCCATGGATTTGTTGATCTCCAACATCCATACGTTTCAAGTCTTTTTTCCCACATAATAACTTTTCGTTCTTGTTGTAAAATACCCTTATAATCTAATTTTTTTCCATTGCTATTATCAACAATCGACATTCGAATATTCGGACCATCGATTATGGCTGATACTTTGGCTCCAGTTGATGTTATACCAACAAGATGACTGTCGTCTGCATTCGACTCAAAATTAAAAAATGTCATTTTTTGACCATATTTCGTATCTTTCCAACAACCCAAATAATCGTCGATATTAATCGAATAACTATTGTAGGCCTAAATGACAAAATAATATCAGAAACCTTAATTTCCAGTATCAGAACTTTTACTTGTAAATCTATTTACCATTAGAGACGATAAGAAAAAATTTTGTTTTATATGTATCTTTCAGGAAAAATGGTTTTGCTAGAGACGTTACATAAGAATTTGTCAATTTCTAGTATTGTATATGGTGAAACTTAGTTACAAATTATCTTGTGCGTTTATTTTTCTTCTGGATTTCGTCTAAATAGACTTATCAGCATTTGAATATCCCGTCTACTGTTCTCTAGACTCAGATATATCACAGAAATCTATTGAAAAGATCTATTGAATCATATTAGTTGGCATACGTTGCTCGTTTCATATAGATGTTTCAACTCATTAGTTCATGAATTTGTTTTCATGGTGTTTAGTGATCTGGACTCTTTCTCTTAAAGTGTGAGACCCAATATACGAATCATCGTGTCTAAGAGCAAGCAACCACTGTTGTGTTCATCAGCTTCAATTTATTGATCGAATTTAATAAATATCTCCGTTCGTGTGGGATAGTACTTACAATTGTAACATTTTTTGTTGAAATATCCTTTTCAATTTGATACTCCATTTGAGTGGAAACCATTTTGGTATACTGTTAAATGTTAAACTACTATCACTACTGCTGTTAACTATGCATATGAAATTCAAACTTGTTCAACTGATTATTTTTTCTGTAATTATTTATATATTGTCTAGTTATATGAGAAAAATAGAGAAAAAACATAATCGGACGGAAAAATTATTTCTTAGTAATGAATGAAAAATGAGAAAATCAGCTGACGATATGTCTTTGATAGAAGAGAAGAGCAAAATTGTCGACCGTCTATGAACCAATGGATACCATGTAAACATGTAATCCATATCAACATTTCAAACATTCTGTCGTTAAGCAAGTAATCAAATATCAAATAGATTAGTCTATAATACATTAGATAACCATATCTATTAAATAAAAGATCAGAATAAATTAAAGCTTTCTCTGATAAATACCTATCCCGATAATCTTAATTCAGACTTTGACAAAAATTTCAGGAAACGGTGATTATGTCAAAGACATAACTTTTTTTTTAAACTCCATCTATTTCCTAGTGTAAAGTATTGTTACAACAGTGGGCAAAATTATTTTCCAAAATCTTTCGGATGAAAAAGATGCCGGAAAACTTCGGTTAGTTATATAAATAATTGATTTTTGAGACGGAAACTTACGGCTCTAATTGAATCGTAATGAAGATTCATTGAAACATTATTCAGAGAAAATCAGAAAATATTTGATGAATGAAACCAAGTGATGCATGAGATGGAAACAGTTGAACAGAACCAAAGAACTTTATTTTTGAAAAAGCTCAAAAAAAAAAGAAATATTCAAGAGTTTAAATAGTAAAAAATTAATTTATGTTTAATTACAAGAGATATTTAGTAATGCCGATCCATTAGGTCTCATTAGAAAATCTTCAAAAACCTATTTGGATAGTTTTTCTTTCTCAATCGTTTAATTTTCTAATGTTGACGATCATGGTGTAGACTGAGTTGAATAAAAATATGTTCTCTTGTTTCTCTTAGTTTTTTATAATTCTAATACAATCCAAAACTTAGAATTTGTCACATTTTAGTAACACATGTCTGCTAGTTTTTAAATCGATGATAGATAATGTACATATATAAAGATTATAGATAATAATGATATTGTTGATAACTACCCCTTCAATGAAGAACAAAACAAAACAAAAGGCTGAAATCACATTTTTACTGCAGTGACTCTAATAAATATTATCCCAGTCTTGTAAAATACGTGATCTAGGGAGTTGTACTTTAAGCTTTTCCTATAAATAGTATATATCAAAATATTGAAGAAGTTATGATTTTAAACGAGATTTTGATGATAATTTGGTAATTCTTTGATGTAATTCATTTGAAATTTCTTTAAATTCTTCATTTTCTGTACTCATTTGATCATATAAACCTTTAGCATATTCATATAATTGTTTTGCTTGTATTAACTCCCGTCCCCTTTCACATTTATCACCGTCTCGCATCAAATAACCACCAATGTCGTGTATGAGACATTCAAGTAAATTTTCATCAAAATTAATTAAATGTTCAATACCAATTTTAGAATATTGTCTAACCCATCGAGAATGATCATTAATATCGTGTGTGTAAATATAAATGAACTCTATTTGTGGTAAATCATGCACTTCTCGAACTAAATCTTGAGCAAATGGACCGGTGGTAATTAAAAATATTTTTTTATCTTTAACAGAATCAATAAAATCGATGCATACAGTTGGTTTATCAAATGTTTTTAATGGATTTGTCACATGTCGAAATTTTTCTTTCATCCTTTCATTGCTGCCTGGAAGACTGAAGCGTTGATCCAACCAAATAACAATATGATTTACGTTCGAAGGTAAATTTGCCATAAAAACTTTATTAACAGTACAATGTTGTAAAAAAAGAATTGTAAAGTTTATAGTTCTTTTGTTTGATCTTGAATAATAAGTACGTTTTCAGTTTGCTTTTCACCTTCAAATTACAGAAGAATTCAAGAATAATAATGATATTTGTCACTAAATCTACAGGGAAGAGAAGAAAAGAATGGTATTTCTTTCGTTTCGAAAAAAAAAAGATTCTTTATCAATGAAAAAAAAAAAGAAAGAAAAAGAAAATTAAAAAGTAAAATAATTTTTAAACAAAATATAAATTTATTATTAAATTTGATCACGTTTTTTTATTTTTGATATCAAATATAAGATTCATTATCCTATTGAATTTCAAGATATGAACAGAGATGGATATACAGGCTATGATCTATTTTATTTTTACTAAGAAAATGACTAGTTCTATATTTATTGAAAACATGTGAATATTATTGAAGTCGCATAGTTTCTAATTAAAAATAAAAGTCATTATTTTCTGTATTTTACCGATATCTACTTTCTTAGGAACTAAATAATAAGTAGACATTTTTTTATTTTCATCGTACGTTTCTCCAAAAAGAAATCTATTTACAATACAGATGGTTAAATCTGTTTCTCTTTTGCATACATATGTAAAATATTTGATGTGTTTATATACGTGTTCCCGGTGCATGAAAAAAACAAGAATCATTTCTTTTAGTATAAATTATATGTTCATGTTTATGCATGATATAGAAATAAAAACAAACAACTATTTATAAATTTGAATACTAATTGTAGAAGGCAAATAAATACAGTGTGAAAGCATCCGTGATTGGATCTAATTATAAAACATCTTAAAAGTAGCATTTTGCCGTAACTTTGGCAAAATGCAGTATTCGCACACGTTTATTTTACGACGTTAAACGCATTGAATAATATATTTCAAGTAGTTAAAAAATGCACGCCCTGTGAATATGTTTTTTTTTAAAGTAAAACGCGTTCGTAATAGCATGTTGAACAGAACGTATCTTGGAAAAACGAATCATCTCGTTTTTTTAGAATAATTAGCAACGATAAAATTAAGAATTAGTCTGTCTAGGACATGAGATATGGCCTATAAAAACAAAACACGTTTAGACGCGTCCCATGAAATAATTTGAAGTAGCTATCGAACGTTAGCTGATTATTTTGTGGAATTAATTTAAAAAAAAAATTTGATAGTTACCAAAGTTCTAGACACATTTATCTCAATAATTGTAAGGACAAGAGAGAAAAAAAAATCTCGTAATTATCTGTAGTATTAATGAGCACAGCAGTATCATCAAGAAGAATCTGTATTCAATGGTGTTAACTTATTTGAAGAGTAGAAATAGTCAAAGAAGGAATGGATGCTTATCATATTCGCCTAGTCTTCTTTTCAGTTATCAAAATAAGCTAAAATGATTCTTCACCATCAACATTATATCACAGCAATTAGCAATCTTTGCATACTTCAAAATTGTAAAACAGTTAAGTTTCTCGGTAATGAAAGGACAGACACTATTCAAAACGTTACTGGCGTTATTAGTGTTAATTAATTACTAGTCTAAAAACAAACAGATACATTCATTCATCTTGATTGTTTTAAATGAGGTTGCATTTTATTTCTAACCACACATGAATAAATAGACTTATAAAAAGGCATTCTAAAGTATTCTCTTTATATTCGTTGTGTATTAGGACACCATATTACTTCGATCAATCATGAAGAGTAACGACGCATAACAATGCTATCTATCACTCAACAATACTAATTTTTATATATCATCTGTTATTTTAAATGAATTAAAGTGGCGTACAAAATTTTAAAAGAATTTTTGTTGCACTACTTAAACGAAAATTATATCCGGCACTTTAATAGCCATAATACATTTGATAATCCGATTATCTTACATCATTAGGATCTGTTGCTAGAAACTATTTGACCTTTATCTATAAATAATTCCTATCGATGGGCTTAATATACGCACAAAGTCGAAAAGCAAATAATCAAAGTTTTAAATCCAACTTGTTTTCTTTTATAAAATTAAGTGATAAGGGAGAAAATAGTTTACATGAGATAAACAGTAAAAAGGATTAGAATCAATTACGGTCAAACATGTATTTTTATAGTATAAAACTAGAGAAGAAATGATACTTGAAATCAGAGAATAAAAGTAAAAGACGAATTTCTATACTAAGGTCAGATTGTACTGTGAACGAGTGCATTCTAAAATAATTTAAGTATTTACTATAGAGTTATCAGACAACTCATCTGAAAAATTTCCTGTAGTTATCATGTGTGAAAATTAAATAAATGTTTCAAATAAGACAGATGTTGATTTCTGCTTCGTAAACATAGAGACCGTATAAGTTTTAACGAAGGCGAATATCCATTGTTACATTTATCAACTTTTTTCAATAAATTTTCATTTATTACTACACATTATACCTCAGGACTTTACTTTGGCTGATGATATTTTTGTCACTGCCACCATGGTGACCTTAACAAATTTAGAAAAACTTCTCTTTTCTTTCCGTCCTGCTTTTTTTCAAGGTGACAGGTAATAAAAAGATGTAAGAATGACGCAGATAAAACTTTTTATCTCGGTTATATATTTGACTTTTCTCTAAGAATAGAGTTTAGTTTATTTGAACCAGAATGACTCATGGTGATAAGAAATAACATAATACAATGGTATTCCAGTTATGCTAGAAACTATGCAAATCTTTTTGACGTCATTTGATGTTCTGACATTTTCGAAGAATAAACTTTTTCTACGAAAATCTTTTGAAAGATCTAGGAAAAAGTCTAACTAAGCTCATTAATCAAACTGCATGTATTAGACTATAGTCAGTTTTGTGTGATTCCTCTCATCAGATCAGTAGAAGGAGTAGTGAAAGTTATGCATCTACGATCCTTAGCAAAATACAAAAAACCTACCGCCTCCTCGTAATATTTTCTTATGTAGATATATATTGTATGTTTTGTAACGTTTTGGTGACCATGAATAAGTACGTTAACGAACTTGCTGATGGCTGCCATTATTTGTTATGTATACATACTCTGTGCACCTCTTAACGGTTGATTGTTATGTTTATCGGAGCAGTTCGTATTATAGGTCATAAACTGACGAGGAAACCGATTTAATTGTCA